TTCCTGAGCAAGCTCTGCACTGCTGGTGACCCGATTCTGTAGCTGACTCCTCAGGAGGAGACCGTCCTGGCGCTTGCTGGACACTCTGGGATGTCCTGAAGACTTCTTCAATGCAGTCGAACCTCTCTCCTTGAAGTTCTTGATGATCCAGTAAATAGTTCTTTCAGGTGCAATATTCTTCGTAGCAATTTCCTTGCATGTGAGGCCATTTTGATGCGAAGTGATGGCTGCACATGTTTCTTTGGAGGTAACAAATGCTAACAAGAACACAATGATTGGAAGCGCTTCTTCCCTCCTTTTATAGCAATCAGTCTGCTCTTACAATCTAATTAGTATGATAGTGATTTTACCTGACTAGTACTCATTCACACTTTCACATGTGCTGCTGATATTAATTAATGTTAGCTGGTCATTTTGTGTCAGGATCAAAAAACAGTGAAATTTGTTATTTTGTGAAAAGTTCATTTTTTGGCCAATGAAGCTTTTAGCAATTATTTAAAATGCATCTGATCACTCTACACAATAATCTAGAAACAATGTGAATGAACACCACAACAGCTTAAGCAGCAAACTTTGCAAAACACAATTTATGTCACTGCCAAAACTTTTGTCCATGACTGTACAATGTGCCTCAGAGGAGGTGAAGTCTTCCTCATACGTTTTCCTCTATCAGTAGTTTTATTCCCACCTCACCGGTCCATAGATGTCGAATTACTTATAACTAGGTAAACAAAATCACTATACTATGTTTATTGTAATAAGACTTGGACACAAAAACTATACAATTGTCAGAGGTGGAACATATTATACTGCCAGTCTGTTGTTTCTTTGTTTTCTTGTGTGGCAGGTATATGTATATGCCATCACGTCTTTATAAGTGAAACCCTGGTGTAAAGCATCACCTCATATACAAGCCATGAACAAGCCTCATGAGGGACAAAGAGTCATCTGAGTGACTTTGCATTGGAAATGGACTCAACAGGAAACAGACTTTACAGTTATTCAAGTGCCATGGTCTTTCAGTAGTTTCCTGTGTCATCATGTAGTTTATATGACATTTTACCACCACACAAAAATGTGTCAACACATAAAGCAAGGACATGAAATTCCTGTAACTATTTCTAGTTATATGACTGTAAAATGGGACACTGACTAAGTTCACACGGTCAGTTTTTGGGATTGACAACGGCATTTACTTACAGGTGTGAGTCTCAAAATGTCATGTTCACAGTCACAGCAACTTACAGTAGCGTCTTGAATATTGTCTGTATGAATGTGCAACGAGAGTCAAGTCCGTATTCCTTACCAGTTACCTTAGCAAAAGTGACCAAAGTAATATTAAAGATGGCGACGTCCATAAAACTGAAAGTCTTACCACTTTCTGACACGACAAGAGTCCAATCAAGCTTCAAGTTTTAATCTTCATTAACCGACAGCAGCAGCTCCGGTGGAGACTGGCTCTAAAACTTTGCAAAGACAGCTCATTTCTACGTCACTGCAAGTTACTGAAACCACACATGAAAACACGCAACACACGGTAGACACTCATTTGTGCAGCAGAGCGGCTCTCTCTCACACTGTATGATGTGACAGACAACTAGTTGTCCAGTCCTATTCCGTTCACACAGCACGTGTTTTCCGAAAATGCGGTTGTGAGTCCTGAAAACGTAACTGGTGTGAGTTCGGTTACAGAATGCGGTTGAGATGCCTGTAAATAACCGTAATGTGTGTGAAAGTAGGCCTGGGCAATAAATGATATCGATATTTATCGACGGTACACCATCATTGATAACAATAGAAAAAATGTTTGATATATATCACACGATAGTTTCACGCTTTTTTCATTTAAATGTGTGTGTTATGTGTGACTAGCAGACAGCCAACAGAACACACAAACACATGCTGAAATGAGTGCTGTGCCTGCCTGTGATGAGGAGACTGTGAACCAAAAGAATATTAGTCAAATTTAAAATATAAATTTGCATTCTATTGCAAAAACGGTGTATTTAAATTTTAGGTGTGCACGTCAGGGAGCCTCATCAGTGGCGCACGAGATGCGGTGAGGATGTAAGTGTTGCATTTTAATGTTTTTGTTAGAAAGCCATGTTTTTTATTCCATTCCACTGCATCTCATATGTTTTTAAATACAATCATGTGCTTGGTGCTTTGGTTATTTGTATTAATCTATGCATAAATATACGATGCTGTTTTGTTCATATTGTTTATGCAATTTACGAAATTATATTTGATTTATAAATATTGGTTTAGACAGTTTGCACTTTTTTATAGACTGCCATTATTTCATTGCACTGAATAAACAATTTAATGAGGTGCATTATTTAGCTCATTGCGCCCTCCTGTGGCCTCAGGAGTCAGGCCAAATGTTTCATTAACTCTTATTTAATCTGCATATAAAATATAAGAAAGGAGATATTTGTTTCAATTTTATTTTGTTTTATTTGTTATTTTGTCTGTTAAGACTAAAATAGGTTGTTGTTTGTCATAATTGGGTAAATTAAAAATACAGTGGTTAAATTTAAACTTTTTTATTCTACTGCTCTGTTTAAGAATTTAATTATCAATACCAAATTATATGAAACATTATATCGTGATAATTTTTTTAGCTATATCGCCCAGCCCTATGTGAACGTAACCGTATTAAGGACTCAAATACAGGACTGACCACCGTATTCTGTTGCTGTGTGAATGTGCCCATACTGTATGTTGACAAACATTATAGAATGGAATTAAGAAGGTTTACATTTGCATTATGTGAGAGTTATTAGAACTCTCAAAGGGGGGGAATTTAAGAATCTCTTAAAGATCTGTCTTGCCTTAACACCACATAAAAAGCTGAAGTGATGTACATTTTTTGTGGCATTTAGAGTGAAGACCATGACAGACAAATGATTCTGTTCACCAATTTGTTAAAGTTAAACAAGCCTGGTAATGGAAACAATTACCTCTTGTCTGCACCGTATTCTGTTGCTGTGTGAATGTGCCCATACTGTATGTTGACAAACATTATAGAATGGAATTAAGAAGGTTTACATTTGCATTATGTGAGAGTTATTAGAACTCTCAAAGGGGGGAATTTAAGAATCTCTTAAAGATCTGTCTTGCCTTAACACCACATAAAAAGCTGAAGTGATGTACATTTTTTGTGGCATTTAGAGTGAAGACCATGACAGACAAATGATTCTGTTCACCAATTTGTTAAAGTTAAACAAGCCTGGTAATGGAAACAATTACCTCTTGTCTGTGATGCTCTTGGTGCCCCTGCCCCTGCTTTAAAGTTGTAGCCACTATTAGTGTAGGTGTGGACTTGTCTTTATCGCAATGATGAAGTATCTGATTGTCTGAGCGGATTCCTCCAAATGCTTGCTTCACTTGCATACTGTGAATTAGGGTTGTGTCGATAGACGTTAGTATTGCGTATCGACGATACTATGTATCAATAATCAGAGATATGGCCCGTGGCTGATGCCTTCGACGAAAGCATGACGATTATTATTGTTGTTATTATTATTATTATCATCAGGCTAGTAATACTTTCCAATTAATATTTGGACTTATATGTTCCATCTTCTCCGTGTTTTTACAGTGTTGTGTGTTATAACTAATCACACGCAACTTCCGTTGAGTTTAAGAATGCAATGGCCAATCAGAGGTGTTTAGATAATCATTGCTGAAACACCAGAGTTTGGTTGTTCAGTGTGCGCAATTGCAGACTTAATTCTGCTCTCTCACAAATTCTCTCATCACAAACAACAAAGTGCAGATGTACGTGCTATGTAAGTATAAGATTTATTCATCATATAGATAGCTTTACTGATTATAACGGAAGTGTTTTTTAAAGTGCATAAACTTGCGCTAGAGTGAAGTCAGTGATGACGTTCTTTGTTAATGTTCTTTGCTTGTTTTCTGTCATTGCTTTTTGAATAACTGAGGAAATGTAAGCATTATAATTAGTAACTTACAATGTTTCTATTAAATTGTTATGTTAAAAACAAATTCAGTCATATTAAAACTATTTTATGATGACAAGACTTCCATATGCTACTTGACTAAAAAGATATAATGTGTAGTTGATAGATTACACTAACATTAGGCTACTTTTAGCTGTACACTCTCTGGCTATGAAACTAAGTGAGTGAATAATTAAATAAATTAGCATGATAATATTGTGTATCAGCGATATGACTTTGGAGCATATCACCCTACACTACTGTGTTTTGGTCATGACCTGACTACTTGATCTCCACTTCCTCTAGTTGGACTTCATCACTACAGTGCCAAACAGCATATTCTCAATAAAGTATCCTGCTGAAGATACACCCGAGTCTCCTGGTCTTCGCTTCTGAGTTGCCAACACCCAACACATAAGTAAACAGTCAATAACAAATGCATTTTAGCAAAAAGACAGTTGTCCTACCTCCTGCTGTAGTTTGTTCACAGCCTTCGTCACATGGTCCTGCTCAGGCTGATGGTATTTTTGAACCATGGTCTCCCTCAAGTTCTCCTTCAGTTCCTCATTCAGCTATAATATTCACAAAGCATGACAATGAAAGACACAAATACACAGCAAACGATAAATGGAAGAACAAATAAATAACTAACCTGCTGGTAATAAATGTAGGCCAAAACTCCAGCCAGGATCTCCAGAAGGAAAATACACAGCAGTAAAACAAAATACTGACAATGGGAGGAGAGAGACAATACATATTTCAATGCCAGTCATGATGATAACTTATTAAAAAAAAGTAATAATAATAATAAAAATACTGTTGACAAAATAACAATGAGAAAAAATAACACTGCTTGGCTATTAATAAAACACCATTTTCAGATGACATAAAGAGGAGGGCATTTTAAGCTATGAAACTTGCAGATTGTTTTAATGGTAAAAATATCTCTTATATATCTTAAATGTTTCTTATGTCATGGTCCCTTTAAGCACTTAAAACAAACTCATAAGCATACAGTGCCATTATATGTAAATGTTAGTGTTACAAAAAGGCTTGTCCTGACATTAGGCAAGTCTCCGCTCCAGGATGTCAATGGCCATTCAGGGCTCACAAACCCGCTGAGAACAGCCTTGCCTCAGCCAGTTCTATAGTGGTTGAACATGAGATATAATTTGGTTTGGGTATATCTTATGGCCAATCTTTGGTCTCATTAATCTATTATTTGTTCCAGAACAAATAGTTTTGGCTGAGGGCAAAGTCTCATAACTTTATATTTTATATAACAACTGCTGTATCAGAGTGCTTCTGCCTTTGTACTTTTGACTGAATTGCCTAGCAAATTTTATTGAACATTTATCCTCAGCAGACATTCAAAATATATGTTTTATTCTAAATATGAGATTAAGCTGAAGAATGAATGCTGTATCAGATGCAGGTTATCACACTCACTCAGTCAATCTCTCATAATACTCTAGTCTACATAATACAAAAAACCTTTAACTTCAATAATGCATCTCAGAGTTCCTTCGTTGCTAGTTCTAAAGTGAGGTTTTCAAATTGGCAAAGGAGGCTTGGGCTCATCTGTTAAACCAGAGGTTCTCAAACGTTTTGGGACCAGGAACCCCTTATGAGGGAGAACTTTTTCCAAGGATCTTCTCATAATTATAACAGCAATAAAGCATATATTTACTACATTTTGTACTCTATAGATACTGATATTGACTGACTGTTATTCCTATGCATGTCTGCACTATCATGTATGTCTGCACTATGTTTGTACTTTCTTCTACACTGGAAGCTCCTGTCGTCAAGTCAAATTCCTTGTGTGTGTAAACATACTTGGTAATAAAGCTCTTCTGATTCTGATTCTTAGATACTATTGAAACTTCAGTTTTTATGGAATTTAGAATTTTTTTATTATTGCGTTTTTTTCCATTTAAATTTTTCTGGACCGTTTTAATGGTTAAATTAAACTGTAGTAATCAAAAATCATGTCTAATATCTCATACATGTTCTCATTTAGTGAGATGACAGACACTGAAGACACTGCATCACACGCACTCGTGTTTGTGTAGTAGACGAAAACACACATCTGCACCATTCATTCACAGAGACAAAGAAAATGCAAGATTCATATTTAAATAGTCTTTTTGGTTTAATATAAACAGTCCAATAGACGATTTGATTAAGTGTACAGCTCTAATTTTGTTTTATTCATCTAAAATTTGCCAAACTTCGTGACATTCCGTTTAATACAAAACATTCCATTTTGACTGGATTCTGCGATTCCAGTCACATTTTCCATAAAAAAAAGAAAATCATATTGCCCTAAATTTGCTGAATTTTGCATGGGGTCTGTAGACCTCACATTGAGAACCCCTGTGTGAAACTGTCAACTTGAGATATGAATCTGTTGTGGAAGTACACTGAACAAAATTATAAACGCAACACTTTTGTTTTTGCCCCCATTTTTCATGAGCTGAACTCAAAGATCTAAGACTTTTTCTATGTACACAAAAGGCCTATTTCTCTCAAATATTGTTCACAAATCTGTCTAAATCTGTGTTAGTGAGCACTTCTTTGCCGAGATAATCCATCCACCTCACAGGTGTGGCATATCAAGATGCTGATTAGACAGCATGATTATTGCACAGGTGTGCCTTAGGCAGGCCACAATAAAAGGCCACTCTAAAATGTGCAGTTTTATCACACAGCACAATGCCACAGATGTCGCAAATGTTGAAGGAGCAAGCAATTGGCATGCTGACTGCAGGAATGTCCACCAGAGCTGTTGCCCGTGAATTGAATGGTCATTTCTCTACCATAAGCAGTTTCCAAAGGCGTTTCAGAGAATTTGGCAGTACATCCAACCGACCCCACAACTGCAGACCACGTGTAACCACACCAGCCCAGGACCTCCACATCTAGCATCTTCACCTCCAAAATCGTCCGAGACCAGCCACCCGGTCAGGTGCTGCAACAATCAGTTTGCATAACCAAATAATTTCAGCACAAACTGTCAGAAACAGTCTCAGGGAAGCACATCTGCATGCTCGTCGTCCTCATCGGGGTCTCGACCTGACTGCAGTTCGTCGTCGTAACCGACTTGAGTGGGCAAATGCTCACATTCGATGGCGTCTGGCACTTTGGAGAGGTGTTCTCTTCACGGATGAATCCCGGTTTTCACTGTACAGGGCAGATGGCAGACAGCGTGTATGGCGTCGTGTGGGTGAGCAGTTTGCTGATGTCAACGTTGTGGATCGAGTGGCCCATGGTGGTGGTGGGGTTATGGTATGGGCAGGCGTATGTTATGGACAACGAACACAGGTGCATTTTATTGATGGCATTTTGAATGCACAGCGATACTGTGACGAGATCCTGAGGCCCATTGTTGTGCCATTCATCCACGACCATCACCTCATGTTGCAGCATGATAATGCACGGCCCCATGTTGCAAGGATCTGTACACAATTCCTGGAAGCTGAAAACATCCCAGGTCTTGCATGGCCAGCATACTCACCGGACATGTCACCCATTGAGCATGTTTGGGATGCTCTGGATCGGCGTATACGACAGCGTGTTCCAGTTCCTGCCAATATCCAGCAACTTCGCACAGCCATTGAAGAGGAGTGGACCAACATTCCACAGGCCACAATCAACAACCTGATCAACTCTATGCGAAGGAGATATGTGGCACTGCGTGAGGCAAATGGTGGTCACACCAGATATAGACTGGTTTCCGGACCCCCCCATACAGTAAAACTGCACATTTTAGAGTGGCCTTTTATTGTGGCCAGCCTAAGGCACACCTGTGCAATAATCATGCTGTCTAATCAGCATCTTGATATGCCACACCTGTGAGGTGGATGGATTATCTCGGCAAAGGAGAAGTGCTCACTAACACAGATTTGTGAACAATATTTGAGAGAAATAGGCCTTTTGTGTACATAGAAAAAGTCTTAGATCTTTGAGTTCAGCTCATGAAAAATGGGGGCAAAAACAAAAGTGTTGCGTTTAAAAAACATTTTGTGTGCAGAACTACACTGAACAAAATGATAAGGACAGTTCATGGTTGCCTCTTATTTATTTACATATTTATCGCCATTATTATAGCCATCTAACTGTGGTATAATTGCAATATCACACTCGTAGCCGTGCGACAGCACATATTGTAAATCAGTGGGTGTTCTAATGAATTATACAGTTATAAAGAATTATATCATTGTGAATTTTTTTGTTTTGTTTTTGTTATAAATGTCAAGCATTGAGTGCATTATCAAATGTACATATATATTTCTTTGTCTTTTGGAAGCCGCATTCAAAATTTGAGGGGGTATGTGCTATCTTATCGTTTTGGAATGACATGAGGGTGAGTAATTGATAACTTAAACTTAAAGTATCCCTTTAATTACAGTTTTATATTTTACAGACCAACTATGGATGTAAAATGAGGAAAGCTTTAGTTTGCTAACCTCTTTTGGTCACACTCTAAACTGATTATGTTTCCATTTTCTTATGCTGTATGTTCCTCAACATAAATAGATAAACATGACTGCCCATCAGTCATGCTTATCTATTTAAATTAAGGAACATACAGCATAAGAAAATGGAAACATAATCCTAAACAGTCCTCTAGAGCAAGTAAACATTTAAATGTGTTCCTCACCACTCTCAGAAGTCGTCTTTGCTCCTTGAAGGTGGCACAGCAGCCTAAAACCCCCGTTACCATGACAATCACCCCGGCCATGATCAGTATATAGGCAGAGACAGCATAAATCTTTGAGGACAGCAGACTGATGTAGTCGCTCTTTTCAACTAGCGTCCAGATGCCCACAGCCATCACTGCACCCCCTGCCAGCTGGAAAAAGATTCAAAATCAATTACCAATGGACCAAATTATATCCCACCCCTAAAATTTTTTTCCTCCAAGATGCTGTTTCACTTGGATATACACTACTGATCAAAAGTTTGGGATCAGAATGATTTTTTATGTTTTTTACTGGAGTTTCTTATGCTTATCAAGGCTGCATTTATTTGATAAAAAAATACAGGAAAAAATGCAATATTGTGAAATATTATGTAAAAAAGTTTTTATTTTCATATACATTAAAATCTAATTTATTCCTGTGATGCAAAGCTGAATTTTCAGCATCATTACTCCAGTCTTCAATGTCACATGATCCTTTAGAAATCATTCTAATATGCTGATTTATTATCAGTGCTGGAAACTGTTGTGCTGCTTAATTTTTTTTTGGAACCTGTGATACTTTCAGGATTCTTTGATGAATAAGTTAAAAAGAAAAGCATTTATTCAAAATATAAATATTTTCTAACAATATACACTACAGCTCAAAAGTTTGGGGTCAGTAAATTTTAATTGTCTTTTTTTTAAATAAATTAAAACTTTTTTCAGCAAGGATGCGTTACATTTTTAAGAAGTGATAGCAAAGATTTATATTTTGAATAAATGCTGTTCTTTTTAACTTTTTATTCATCAAGGAATCCTGAAAAAGTATCGCAGTTTCCAAAAAAATGTTTGGCAGCCCAACTGTTGCCAACATTGATAATTCTAATAATAAAACAGCATATTAGAATGATTTCTTAAGGATCATGTGACACTTTATACTGGAGTAATGGCTGATGGAATTTCAGCTTTGCGCCACAGAAATAAATAATATTTTAAAGGATATTAAAATAGAAACCATTATTTTATATTGTAATAACATTTTGCAAGATTACAGGGTTTTTTCCTGTATTTTTGATCAAATAAATGCAGCCTTAATGAGCATAAGAGACTTCTTAAAAAAAAACATTACAAGTCTTACTGATCCCAAAATTTTGACCAGAAGTGTACATCACAATAATATAAATCACAATAAATAATATAAATCACAACTTCCATTTCATGCCAACTTTAAAGCAGCAAGTTATTTTCTACTTAAAGTCTTAGAATATGAGGTGCACTGCATTAAATGGTTAATTCACCCAAAAATGAAAATTGTGTCATCATTTACTTACCCTTGTGTCATTCCAAATCTATAAGACTTTGGTTAATCTTTGAGACACAAATTAAGATATTTTTAAAGAAACCTGAGAGGTTTCTGATAACCAAAACTTAGAATATCCAAAAAGGTCATAAAGGCATCATAAAATTAATTAATATGAACTGAGCAGTTTATTCCAAGTCATGTGAAGAGATTGCGGTGTTAAATATGAAAAACAGATTTAAAGGTATAGTTCACCCAAAAATGAAAATTAGCCCATGATTTACTCACCCTCAAGGCATCTTAGGCGTATCTGACATTCCTCTATCTGAAACTACTCCACACGGCTCCGGGGTGTTAATAAAGGCCTTCTGAAGCGAAACAATGCGTTAGTGTGAGAAAAATATCGATTTTTAAAAAGTTATAAACCGTAATCTCCAGCTTCCGGTCGCTCTAGTAGGCGTGTTCACGAAGACGTTCGCGCGTATGTCGTAGGCGTAGCAGAAGGCACAACGTAATCTCCGGGGAGATTGAGTGTAGTCTCGCAAGAGTAAGCTCCGGGAAGAAGAGTGTAGTCTCGCGAGAGTAAGCTCCGGGGAGAAGAGTGTAGTCTCGCGAGAACCCAGTTTTGTTTACAGCACAGGGAAACCACGTGAACTACATCTGTAGTTTGTGCCGCCGTTGCAGCCTCCTCCATCTCGTGGAATTCCTGGTCAGTATACCCCGGTTCAAACACATATGGCTGGTTTTGTAGTACTAGTTCGTGACAGGTGTTTTGTTTTGCTTTCTCCTCTGTGCTTCCGCGTTCGTCACTCTCTCCCCAGAGCTTACGTTGCACCTTCCGCTACGCGTACGTCATACGCTCGAACGTCTTTTCTTGAGCGACTGGAAGCTGGAGATTACGGTTTATAAATAAATTTTAAAAAAATCTATATTTTTCTTACATTAACACATCGTTTCGCTTCAGAATGCCTTTATTAACACCCCAGAGCCGTGCGGAGTAGTTTTATGATGGATGGATGCAGTTTTTTAGGCTTCAAAAACAAGGGCACCATTCACTGCCATTATACAGCTTGGAAGAGCCAGGCCAATTTTAAATATAACTGTGATGTGTTTGTCTGAAAGAGGAATGTCAGATACGCCTAGAATGCCCTTAGGGTGAGTAAATCATGAGCTAATTTTCATTTTTGGGTGAACTATCCCTTTAACAGAAGCTTTTATTAACATATAAACATATATATATACATATATATATACATATACATATATATATATACATATATGCAGACTTTAACCTTAGTTTATAAGAATATACAGTGTGTGTGTATATATATATATATATATATATAGAGTGAGAGAGAGAGAGAGAGAGAGAGAGAGAGAGAGCACCACATATGGTAAACAGGGAAGCTTGTGCGTGTCATGCATGCGTTGCACACTAGAACAAACCTCATTGGTTCTCATGCATCACACATGCAGATTCGTGCTTCCGTGTTTACCACATGATGTGCTCTATATGTGTGTGATGATTAGGGGTCTAATGGTATACAATGTGGCTCTGTCTTTAACAAAATTGAATTATAATTAAACATTTCTTAAGGATTAAATTTTTTTTAAAAACTCATCTAAGACTGTAAACTATATAGTGAGGCCTATTACTTGCACATTACTACAATATTATAGGTTACAATTAACAACAGTGCCTAAACTTTTAAATTCAGTTTCTATCAATTTTAGATAAAATAATCAACACTCAAAAATCAAACAGGCAAACTATCAAACATACAAACAAACAAACAAGTAAATAGGCTGTTTTTACATTACCTTCTAATAATACAATTATTTTCCTACTCCAATTCATTGTTGAAATACAATCAGTGGCTGTTATAACTTCTTTTCCTGACAGATTTATTTAAACATGCATTAATTAAGAGATCACTAACAGGTTAAAGTATAATGAAATACAGTATAATAGTTATATATTATTCTGTTGCTCCTTAGACCAACCATACTTCTGTGTTGTGTTTTATTTTTTTAATACTCATTCATTCATTTATAATCATTTAAACATTTTATTATTAGGGGTCAAGCACCGAAGGTGCGATGGAACCTATTGTATCCGTTGGCGTTCCTATAATTATGATTATTCTTCTACGAAAATTGTTCTTCTAAGAATTCTACAAAAAGCACGCAAAAATGGATGTGAGGCTATATCTCCACAATGGTTTGGCATATTGAAACCAAACTTGGTGTGTGTTATAACAAGCATGACGTGAGGCTACCTGCAGTGTTTCGTAGTGTTGGGTCATTCTTGAACGATTCGTTCATTTTGAACGAATCTTTAATGTGACTCGGGAGGAATGATTCTGTGATTCGTTCAGCAACATGCTATAGGTTCTGTACTGGAATTAGTCAAGTAGTTCACCTGTTACCGAGTTGTTCGTTCATCACGTGACAGCCCCATAAGCTTTACCTATGCAGTCTGAGCCGGAAAGAGACGTAATAATAATAATAAACTCTTTATTACCTTTGTTACAACATTCAGTGTTATGGAAAATAACCATCATGACAGAAATTCACACATTTATAAAATGTAAGAAGTAAAAAGCTACAATTTGAGACCAGAAACGCATCACGTAACTGTAAGAGTAAATAATTATAATAATGACGATAATAATAACAACAACAACTATGCACCCGTTTGTAAGGAAGCTTGTAAATTAACTAATTTCTCTATCCAATGTTGTCACGTGACAAAAAAACGAACAATTCGAAAGACTCGAGAGATGAACTAATCAATTCTCTTTAAGGCTCAGACTGCATTGGTTAAGTTTATGGGGCTGTCACGTGATGAACGAACGTCTCAAACCCGAAGACTTGTCAGATAAGAGGTGAGGTGAGCTAATCATATACTGAAGACCAAGGTAAACAATTAATAAATTTTTTGTTTCTTATAGCAGTTTTGTATTGTTTGTAGTGTCATCAACATTTGCGTAAGTAGTAGACATGTTAGGGAAGTAACCCGTTACATTTTAATTATATTTTGCTAAAATGAACGAAATGACTCGAAAAAATGTTAATTTTGCTGAACGAGACTCAAAGAGTCGGTAAAATGATCCGAACTTCCCATCACCAGTGTTTCAGCGCAGTGCCACCTAGTGGTCAGGAGATATGAAAAATTAATATTTTTGCTTATAACTTCTCAATGGTTTGACCAAAAATCACAAAACTGGTCTCTTTAGATTAGGTGGAGCAGACCATACCGTGCCGAGTCAAACCATACCCAATTTTCCCATGTCAGCCATTTTGGGCGTCTGCCATTTTGAATTTTGTCGTAAAATGCTATAATTTACAAAACGCATCGACTTATCATTACAAAACTCGGTATGCATCTTCGACACCATGCCCTAATGTTACTCAAAACGCTTGGGGGAAGCAGCAATCTTGTGGTAAATAATAATAATGACATTTCTAAAAATGATAATAACTTTTGTTTACATTAGCCTATTGTAATAAGACTGATGTTGATAGATTCCTTGGATCATGCCAAAAACATCGATACCAATTATGCCAGAATTGGCTGAATTTCCTGTCCGCCATTTTGATTTATGTTGAAAACCTACTTTTTCGAACTCCTCCTAGACCGTTGGTCCAATTTTCACCAAATTTGACTCGGATCATCTTCAGACCATGCTGGCAAAAAGTTATGGATTTCATGTGGATATACGAAACGGTTATTGTTTAACGCATCAACAAATTTGCTGGAATGATGCCAAACTGCATTTGAGGCTGTATCTCTACAAATCTTTGAGATACCCACATGAAAAAATACTATAGTAATTTATAGTAAATACTATAGTGTTTTTGAAGCATA